ACAATACGTCTACGGTTTTCTTGGTTTTATAGCTAACTCGTTTAGGACATCTTGTGGATCTATCAATACGCTTTTAAGAACTGCCAGCATTTCCAACCGTTTAATCGATTCAAAACGGTATAAAGTTGTTGAATGTCATTGACCGCATATAATATTATGGTCCAAGATTGTTATAAATAAAACGATTAATAGTTACCATTGAATTTGCGTCAAAACGATTATTAGTTTAATTTACAAAATTATAGCCGTATTAGAAAAAAAAAAAAACGTCCACAGGGGATTATACATCCAGAAAAGCGATGGGCGATTCGCTGTAGTAAATCGAAACGTAAAAAAAAAAAAAAAAATCGATCCATAAAACATCGACGTAAAAAGAATCGACTCCCTTAGAGGTCGATCCAATGAATCGTTCAGAAATTCATATAAATAACATTGACGACGTTCTCATAACTCATAAATTACAACATTGAAATTTAAAATTTGAACGGAAAATGTATAAAACTATTTTAAACCATACTAGGATTGATATTTTCAATGTTTGAAATTCAAGTTCATTGCCTTTATATGAGAATACATGTTGTATATAAAATGTCTACTATCGGATCGACGATTCGACGCTCACAAAAATGAATCGATTCAGATCGCCCATCACTGATTCACATCTTCCTCGTTATACAGATATTGATGTAATATATCTGTTGCATCTTTTTGACGCAGAAACCGTGTTGAACAATTACCGTTATGATTAATAATACGAAATGTAAAATCTTTCCCTGCGTTTATACTGACTTAATATTATTTTCGAGCGGAGGGTTTTGATCGGGGCGAGCGTCACCCCGTAGGATTCTATTTAACACAAAGGGCTACAATAATTGTATACCATTGGCCCCACTTGTGAAAACCGTTCGTTTCACAAAGACGACTTTATAATTATTTTTAAACCCGTTAGATGTATTTGTTGCAGTAGACTGGAATATTTAAACATCAAAGTATTTGTCGTCAGAAATATGATTACTCCGAACAAAATGCCACTGCGCATTTCTTCAGGTATATGTTATTAATTTTAAAATTTCGAAGGTATAATAATTATTTACCTTTTCATAATAATTATTTACCGTTTTATAATAATAATTATTATTGAAAAAATGATCATTTCCTACTATGCAACATTTATTTATTTAAATTCAAATGTTATTTTTAAAAAGTAACTTTTTTCGGTGCTTTTTTTTCTGTCTGCGGACATCTAATTAATACACTGAAGATTTAATTTATTGATTTTATTTTGCACTTTTATCAACAGCGCACTGCAGTGGGATGAGACGGGAAAAAGAGGAACATATTTAAGCAATAAAAAACAGTCTTTCTGCAAATTTCGATTTTGGTTTTCGTTGTAATTCAGTGATATATAAGTGTAAAAACTTAGAATTTGTACGAAATATTTAACAGTTTATAGATAAAATTTACAAAATATTCTGCCGTTTTTCAGTTATTTATAACTATGTATTTTAAATAGTACAGTTATTTTTGGGTTTTTGTAAATACAGATTTTGTAGATAATTTTTATTTAAAATTTGAATTTAAGTTAAAATTTTTTAAAACCACCAACATTTTATTTGGCTATATATAGTTAATACAATGTTCAATTTAAATTGAACAACAAATGTTTTAACGGAACTCTGCTCACAATTGTTATCCATTTAAACTTAATGTTTTATCGTTACTTACTGTTTAACCCTATGCACCTTACCTTCTAACGTTCCACCTCAACAGAGACTTTCGCGCTAACTACTTATTCAGTGGGAAGAGCATTCAGGTATAGAGAAGATTTTCCAAACACTCAATGGATTGGGATTTTGTTTTTCTAGTCTATCCGAATAGGCTGTAAATAGGCTATTGTTATTATAGTATATTTTTTTGATATTACTTATTTATTGAATCCTGAATATTGGCACGCCGGTGGGTTTTACATCGCCGGCGTGTTGTTTCGCTTTCATTATTTGTAGACGTTTAAAAAGAAAAAGAAATTGTTTCGAATATCAACAACTCAATGTAGGTATCATTTTTAAACGACTAAAAGTCGTGTAATGACACAGGATATCATAGATATCGGAAAATGTATCGTTATCGATTATCGAAATCGAACACAAAAAACGACGGCGGAGAATTTGTTGCCAACCTAACATTTTTCAAGATTTTATGAAAATAGCTTTGTATTAATTCAGCGGGTACCTTGACATTATTAACTATATTGATGTTTTGTCTGTTACTTGAACGAGCTATGGGTAACCTTTTAAGAGGACCGGCATGCACATACTATTTTATATTATGAAAAATATGCTTACGCAGACTGCGTAGAGCTATCTCAGTTTTGAGTTTATAGTAAAAAAACACCTGTTATAAAATTAAAAAAAAAAAAGAATAATATTTTGGAGGATAAATTAGGAGGGTACCCAACATTTTTTCATACAACGTACAATCGCTTAGAACATTCGAGAAATGTCGAATAACGTTTGAAGACGAGTACAAAATAATTAGCATAGATATGGAACATAGTTCAAAAATATTCTATTGGGAGTGGTAATGTACGATTATTGTCTATTTTTTTGAAAGAACATTGTTCGGTGTCTTCTAACGTCTCATCTCGGCTCGATGGGTAACCGGTCCGTCTATAATCGTGCCCACACAGATAATAAAATATCGTACAAGGGATTTTCAAATGGGGACGTGAAAGAAAAAAAAAAAAACGTTCGCTTTTTACAATTTGTGTTTTTTTATTATCATTTTTCTGTTTTCGTTATAATTATCATCATTATTTTCCGGGAGAGGATGTTTTTTTTTTTTTTTTCGTTTTTCCATGTTTTCATAGACGGTGTACACCCCACATATTATTATAACCGACGATAATACATTCATAAAATATTTTCGTAAAACGGAGAGGGGCCGAAGGATATCGCGGCGACTAAACATAAAATTCTAACACGTTACACACTATATAATAATAATATAATCAATGACAAATAATAATAATAATAATAATAATAATAATAATAATATATTAGTATGCACTATATATAGACAACATAATCATATATACATAGGCCTAGAGAATCGTAAAACAATATCTATATAATATAATATATTTCTTTTTTTTTTTATTTTTTTTTTCAAATACTTCCGTGTATTATCGATTTCAGACACACACACATTTATTATCGTAACATATAATAATAATAATAATAATAATAATAATAATAATATTATACTTATACATAGTATACAATCAATTCGAACGTATATAATAATAATGTTTTCGTCTACACGCTAAATACCGGAAAAAGACAAAACATATAATAATAATAATAATAATAATACAGACGTTATGTACCGCGATAAATATCGTATACATCCGCACGCGTACAATTAATAATGATAGACATAATAATAATAATAATATCGTACGATGCGCTTTTTTTTTTTTTTTTATTTATTCTTTGTTCTCCCGGTCGGTTCGACGGGACGGGCAACGAAAGAAAACGGACAAAGACGCGCGCGGTCATCGTCTACGTTTTTTTTTTTTTTTTTTATATACGGACACATCATTATCAATCGAAAACTACTGCGGTTCGGCCGCCCGTTGGAACGCGTATTATTATTGTTATTATCACCGCCGTCGTGTATACTATTATTATTATCGTCGTCATCGATATTAGGTATAATACACTCGTGTACACGGTGCGCGGCGTGTTCCCGATGTTTTCCCCCGGAAGTACATATTAAAAAGCACGCGCCGGTACAGAATCCCTCGCGGTGTAACAATATCGACGAACCCCGACGACTATATTAGAAATGGTTTTTCTCGGAAAAAAACGAAACAATAATACTACGAGCAAAAAAAAAAAAAAAAAAAAATACGAATAAAAACAAAAACATTTTTTCTCCCGGTTTTCGAATCATTACTGGTTAGACGATATTATTGTGTATTATGGGATTAACATATTTTAACCAGAGTTGGAACGCACGATATACTACAGTAAAGTACGAAGCACGTATAAAACGTATACAATGTTTACAATAATTATCAATTGATGTTGATAAGTGTTGACCGCAGACATTTAATCGTCATTTTATGTATCCTTTATTGATTACTAAATTCGTCTTTATTCTTTATTAATGAATATACCGTAAATATTTGTTATAATAACGAAAAAAAGAAATTTGTTTAGTTTTAATTTTATTCTAAATTCAATTGCGCGAGTCAATGCGATTCGTTAATTCACCGTAGCTATTGATTATGCTATTTATACGTTAAAATGCGTATTAAAATTTAAAAAGTACAGTGCGTTATGTCGTTACTATAATAGTTATAAATTCCAAAAATAAAAACCTCGTGTGTCGGTCGTTATACAAAGTTGTATACGTTTTACACGCGTGTATTACCGACGTGTACAGCTCGAGATTCGACGGACGTCTCGCGGGTTGAGTGAGAATGTGGCGTGGGGGTGTGGGAATTTATCCGGACCGGGCGTTCGAAAATCGCCGTTTTTCGATATTCTTTCGTTGGCCGCACGCGACGTTATACGACCGTCGAACATTCGCCCGCAAAACGGAGGTGCCGCCGGAGGGCCCCCGGTATCGCGGCGCGAGGTTTACAGGTCGGGCGAGCGGAGAGTGCCGTGGTAGTTCTGTCCCCAGTGCGGATGACCGACTCCCCCGGAACCCGAATCTCGAACGCGCGAGTTTGTCCACCCCCCGCACGCTAATCGTATTGTCGCGATATCGGCATACGTACGGACGGGTATAATATAACGCGACCGCGTAGCTACACCGCAGTCTACGCGTAAATCCGTAAGTGCGCGACGGTAACCGGAGAGGACGGAATCCGATCGGATCGTCGTCGAGGGCGTCATTTCGACTTTGTCGAAAAGTTATCACGCTAACAGCTATAGAGACAGGCCAATATGTTACGTTTTACTGTAAAGTTATAACAAAAAAAAAAAAAAATGAATTAATTAATAATAACAATCGTTTACAACCGCTACGGCGATTACAGCCATAGTTACCGATGTCGGTTAAAAGATCTAGTGAAAAAAAAAGAAAAAGAAAATTATCTTCAGGTACAATATTGTAGTCGGGTCAAAACGCGATTTTGACGGATTTCGGATAAGCGCGAGCGCGATACCCTGACACATCCTGAATGACGCCCCCGAATGACGCGCGACGAATAGTCCAATATGCGATTTTGTTGTTGAAAACGATCGAGATCGATCGCGAACCGTTTCTGAATCGTCGCGACGGAACCTGAATAATCGCCCGGATCAATATGCGACGCGTCCTGTCGGCACACGACTTCACGACTGCCGAATTCGGTCGGGTGTCTGTGACAGTTGTTTTATGTGATATCTGACAAAGATAAAGCTCACGATCCTACAAATCTGACGTGTTTTCGAGTTTCGTACGATCGTACACGACTCTCGTGCACAAGCTATAAAATATTACGTATACATATAGAATATCGCACGTTTCAAAAGCTGTTTTTTTAATTTAATTTTTATTATTATTATTCTTATTTTTATTTTTTTTTTTTAAAACACTACCTACATCGTTACTGATTTTTTTTTTTTTACCTAAAACCGATTGTTGCGGGTTATAATAATATGATATGAACAAAATAATATCTACGCGCATACAATAAATAATTATATGTACAATAATAATAATAATAATATAATATGTTATACCCTTTTTTTTTAAAAGCCGGACAAAATAAAAATGAAAAAAAAAAAAAAAACCACACATTTTAGAGGCGTGCGGCCTCGTCTTATCACTATACTATCACGCTGTGAGCTCAACGAGCACGTCGTTTTTTCTACGTTATTTGGACGCGACAGTATAATGTTATAATATGCTCACTGTACAGGTAGTTCGTTTTTCGGTTATTCGCTTCAGACGCTTCCACGCCCCTGTTTTCCTAGATTCTGTTATAACAATTATTATTGTAGTATCTCTAGTATCTCACGGTTTATGCGCTGACCGTAACACACGAACGATTCTCGGGGCGGAAAATGAATACGTGAAGATTCACCGTCGACTTTACAACGCCTTTGGTAAAAACGGCCGAGACGCATACTTACAACGGTATAATAGATTACCACGGTAAATAATAAACGACCGTCGAACAGATTAAACAAAAGTCGAGTCGATTGCCAGCCACATTAGATTACCGCACGCCGCCGTCCGCCGTTCCTCGGGGTCTTTTGAACGTTTCTTCGTAGCGATTCGGTTTACATGATACCGTCGTTCATGATTTTCAGCAGAAACAATGCGAAATTTACCGAACGGTATACAAAACGATCCGCGAGACGGGTCGTTGTCGTAGTGGTTTTTGATTTTCTGACGAGAAAAAACAGAAACGACAATCGAGACGGCGGTGGAAATTACGCGAAACTCCGGAACGCGGAACAGCAAAAGGCTCGAGCGAAAAATTATACATGAAATAACAAAAATGACCACGTGGGTCCAAACAAACAAAAATTTAAATTTAGAAGCGTTCAGTCGAAGCGAATAATACACTATCGTTTTGGGCTTTTTTTTTTTTTTTTGTTACGGTTCTCGCGCGTGTTGTCGTGTACACGGGGTGGATCGTTATTATCCCGACGGACGTTTGGAATGTATAGCAGACGCGGGATATCGAGTCGTACGATTGGAGGCCACGTTTAAGGGGATGGGATGATGAAGAGGTAGAGGTGGCGGCGGGGGAATTTGCCCCGGGGTACCGAACCTTTTTTAAAAACTGCAGGGGCGACCGGCTCAATATAAATCTCGAAATAAAATTTAAAATATCGCTATTATCACTATCAAGTATATCGCTTGTTATTCGATTCACTTTCAAGAGTAAATAACGAACATTGTTCGGCGATCAGAAGAACACGAGGACGACCACCTCCCCATCTCCCGAGTGTGGTTAGACTATAATGGGGCCCGAACACGGACGGACGGACGGACTCGTTCGAGAGCTATAAAGGAAGCGAATGATGTGCGTGAGCCGCGAACGAACGTTTACCGGGGACTCGATCTTTGTTCAGCAATCTAAATGCATGTTGACGCTTTGAGAACCGGATTCTAGTGATCTCCGAATATTCTTCTCGAGGACTCGGTAGTTTTCCTTTAAATCGCCGTTCCTGGACGGTACCTCTTCGGCTCCCACCCTACCTCGCTGTACCGAATTACCCCGAATAACTTCGGCCATACCGAGACCGACGTTTCCGGGTCACTTTGTCCGGAGAAATTTGAGATGGTCGTAACTGCTTGAGTCGATCTGCAGAGAGAGATTTCACGACTCGTAATTTTGATTTTCGTATACACGGGCAAATCAGTCCGCGATTAGACGACTGCGCGGCGTGCATGCGGATACGACACATAAATACACATTATGTTTATTTTATTATTATCTTTATATATTTTTTTTTTTTTTTTTTTTTTTTATGATTTTTATATTTAAAAACCGTTTTGACAAGAATTTGGTTTAAAGAAACGTTTATACCGGTGTTATTTCAAAAAATTATTCGTACACAACCGTCGTAGGTTTCAATTTTGAAAGGAGGTTATTTATAGTTGGCGCGAGTTAAGGGTTAATATTTTATTTTCTGCCCCCCTCCCCCGAAATATTCTGTCCATCGCGATTCTAAATGAAAGTGCATAACAATAATAATTATTATATTAACAGTACAATACAAGTAAACAGTAATACTGATCGTTGAACATTAGAATTAAAATTACGAAAATAGAACTGAGAAACATAATATTATAATCACTGTCTCGGTATGTTTAGGTTAGTAAGCGCTTAATGAAATCCGAAAAAATTATTTGACACGTTATAAGATAACATTATTATTTCTATTATTATGTTATTAAGTTAAAGAATCTCGGATATATTATAATAGCGGGGTAGGTTAGCGGGTGTTTTAACAGCGAAAACCCGTGTCGTATTTTCCACGTACGAGATTTCCCGTTCGTGTTCTCTCGTCCATACGAGTCGCAAAATCTCTCGACGCACACGCGGATACGACGCGGCGTTACAATCCTCCGGAAAATTCGACTGGTGTTTTTTTTTTTCCTGTCTTTCTTTTCGGCATAATCCTATACCATATTTGAGCACAATACTGTATCATGTATTTATTGTAGAATAACATATAATATAAACAGACGTTTTGCGAACTGAGTGCACCCAACGAGAGCACGGTAATAATAACCATTTTCAAACGAAACATGTACGTTTAAACCCTGTATTTTTTAAGTTTTATTTCGCGGTATTCGCACGTGTTGTACTTATTCTCTCTCGCTCGTCCCGCTGCTCTAACGACATTTCCGTCGCTACACCACTGTATCTACCGATGTATATTGTTTATGATACGAGTGTTCGTAATATTTCTCGCGAGAGAAGGGCTAAGGGCATGGGTACGAGACTATATTAATGTTATCAGTAAAAAAAAAAAAAAACTGTCACGGAGAAAAGGGCAAAAATATCGGTAGTAAATAAATAATTCGCGAGTATTTAGGTGCGTTACTTTACGAAATAAGCGAATATAACCGTTAGAGTCTTATCGTAATAATAATAATAAATTTGAATGTGCTCGGGGGAAGGGGGGTGGGGGGAGATTTATATATGCACGTCAATATTTACAAAATCGTTTCGTACTATCGATACTATAATATGTATACATATACGTAATATTATACGATTAAATTCTGAGATTAAAAAAAAAAATTTTTTTTTGTTTTTTTTTTTTCTGATATTAAATAAGGTATAATATTTAAATTCTGCGTTAATTGGTTTTGTATTATACGAATATAATATCAGGTGGGTACTTTTGGTTATAAAATATTATATACAGGGTGTTTATATATATATATATATATATATATATATTTGTTTTTGCGTTATTAGAACGAATAATTGAAAATATTATAAACGATAATTACACGCGCATGCGCGCGTCCGCGTGAGATCCCGGACGGTCCGGATACGCAACTGCAGACGATTCGTGGATGTTTTCGAATCGCGACGACCCCGTGCTGACTGCCGATCGTCCGAGACCGGATACGACGGTAGACGACCAAAGATGTGTGTGTGTGTGTGTGTGTGTGTGTTTGAAGGGGTGGTGGTGGTGGTGGGGAGTGCGTATAGTTTTCGTATTTTTGTTTTGTTTTTTGCCGGGAAACAAACGACGGTAGATAGGAAAAAAAACACCCCAATGAGACTTAATGAGATCAAAACTCCGGACGAAAAGAAAATATACACATACATATTTATATAATCGGAAAACCCGTACGACGACGGACGTTCGCAAGTATGTACACGGTACACACGGAAATATCCGAGAAAGTCCCGCAATTGCGTGTAACGATGTATACCCATACGCGACTATAGAGATCAATGTACAGATGTACATGGGAGTTGTCAGGTCGCCGTGTCCCGCCGTTGCTATACGCAAACCGTTAAAGAAAAAATATCACACACACACACACACAAAACTGTATTTATACGTCCGGAAGAAATGTCGCGACAGTTTTCCGCGAGTGTATTCGCACCCCCGACTTTAGCCGATATAAACAACATGATATACATTTACCGATACAACAGCGTGGTTAAAAAAAAAAAATAATAAAAAAAAAAAAAAACACGTAAACATTAAAAATAATTTAATACTCGATAAAAATATATGTATATATAACGTTAAATATTTTACCGTAAATAATATTATAAAACCATTTATGTATAGACACATAAAACAACTATGGACAGCCGGCTATATGGGTAAATGGGATTGCCCAGGAGTCGTCGCGGTTATAAACGGAATCGGGAGGTACCAGATTTATCCGCCATTTCTTTTGCGTTTTGAGGTTACGTGTGAAAATCGTAATTATAATTAACTAAAATAAATACTCGTGTTGTTATTTATTTACAAACGTAAAACGTAAAATATCAATGAATTAAAACAAACGAAAACGTAATTTTTTTGAGAATTTTAGAGATTTGAATATAACCGCAGTTATGAAAAAAAAAAAAAAAAAAAAACCAAAATATTTAATTGTCACCCTAAGCGACCGCATAACCAACACAGAAAGAGAAAAGGTCTACAAGAAAGGTCTTAGGAACGGTTACATATCAAAAAGCAGCCGCAAAAGTTCCTATTAAAAATACACGGAAAACTCCCTCCCTAGATCGCGTCGCTGCGCGATCTAGTTTTAACTACCGTCAATCATTACCAATTGCCAGATCATAATCGTAATTAGGTAGCCCGATGTTCCACCGGGCGAGTAAATGTTGCATACCGAAAGGAACCGTTTCGTCCGAGGACCATCGGTTGTGTAACCATTCCGTCTACAACCGCGGCTGACACGTGCCAAGGGGATAAGTTTTATTGATTGCGATTTTATTGAAACGTGCGATATGATTTGAAATTGTGTCTGTCGGGTCTATTTCATTGGTTTTCACGCCATACAATCGGCTGTCTATAGTTTTTTTAATATATATATGTCTACGCGTAAAACACGAATAAAGAAATGTCACGTGTATATACATACATGTATTATATATCACACATATATAAATATAAATATAATACCTTCGAGTGTATGTATATTATTTATTGTACTAATAGTAAGAAGGAGAAAATAATACAAATTACGAATAATGAGATACTGATAGAATTGCGTAAAATTATTTGTAGGTACGTATGTGTGTGTGTATGTTAATAAAAATCATATTAATATATATATATATATATATATATAATATAATGCATATGTATTATTTTAGGTTAGGTACTTATTCGTATTGTTATATATTATCGACTTGAATATTATTAATACAGTTATTATTGTGTTTCATCTCCGCACGAGTTTTTTTTTTTTTTTTCCGGACGAACGCCGCCGACGGACGCGTTTAGTAAATAAATATTAAATATAAGGTATAATATAGTAAAAAAAAAAAAAAACAGTATATAATATAAATTTTGGTGACTAGAACTCTGAATAATAATAATACAATATAATATATTACGTGCTGGACATCATGGTGGCACATGCAAATATACGCACACACGAGAGGGGAGGGAGAGGAAGAGGAAAATATATTGTCGGAAAACCGGGATGTGTGTGTGTGTGTGTGTGTGTGTGTGTGTATGTGTATTTGTGGTGGTGGGTTTTATTTTTTATTTTTTTTTTTTGGTTCGTGCGAAAAACAGCAAAATAACTGTCGTGTACGTAATATATAATATATGTATACATATAATGTATAGTATTTTGTTTGTTTGTCGCACACCGGATCTCCCAGGGAAAATCCCCGCGGCGACCGGTCGCGATGCGCTTTTTGATATCGGTCGTGTTTTATCACGCAAGTTTAACACATAATAATATACGTATATAATACATATATATATATATATATTACATGCACACCGCAGATATAACAATTTCGACGCGTACATTTTTTTGTGTTTTTTTTATATATATATATATATATATATATGTATAATACATATTATTATATATTTTTTCGTACATTATCGGTATTTGTTTTATTTGAATTATTCTTTTTATTAGCGAGTTTGTATATATATATATATATAATATATAATATATGCATATATATATATATATATATATATTATTATATATTATTATTTATATAATTTTTATTATAATTTTTTTTATTATTTTTTTTTTTTTTCATCATTGTCGTTGTCGTCGTCTCGTCGTCGTCGTCGTCGTCGTCTCCGTATCCGTCGTGTCTTGGTCGCCGTGCGTGTCTGTTCTGCGGGACAGACGCAAGAAAAACACACAATCAGTACGAGAACATGGTGGCGACAGACGATCGCGTTAAAAAGTCGTCGTCGTCGCGTCGGACGGCGCACATATACGGTATCGTTTTAGGCAGAGAACGAGAAGTTATACATACGATAACACGTGCAATTGCAAATACGGGGATAAGCAGATATGGTGTGTGTGTGTGGGGGAGGGCAGACGAAGCTGATTTTCAATCTGTAATTGTATTTATTCCCGTTTATATTGTATTATTTTAGATACGGAGCGGAACGAGCGATCTACTGGTTTCACTATGATGTGTGTTTTTAATTTACTGTTTTGTCCCTACACGTAGCTCGTCTACCAAAAGTCTAGCTCCAATAGTAAAACCACAAGTGAAATATTCGTTGAGCATTTTTTTGTTTGCGAATTTTATAAGTGCCTAGTTATTATTTAGTAGGCGCTATGTTCATTATAAGTTGTACTATTATTGCTAAAACAAGAAATAGTAGATTAACCTCTTATAGAATGATGTTAAAATAAGATTTTGATGAAAATCATAAACATTACTACCTTTAAAATCGTGAATAAAACAAATTTTGCTCAGAATCGTTTTTCGTTAGCAACAGTTTATAGTTTATTTTTTTTAAATAATTGAATGGAAAAATACACGAAGGGATATATCCTTTACACCCTTCCTCACCGTTTGACCATCCCCCTGGTTTGGATAAAAACTATACAGAAATAAATATGCAAGTGTTATACGCATCTTCATTTCTTTGCCTTACATATCATATATTACGTGTACCGTAGACGGACGACTGGAATTTCTTAAGATCCACACATAGTACTCACGTGTCTAAAAGACCATTTCAGATAGTGTGATGCGGCACGTAGAGAGCGCAACGCCACTGTCACTGGATCCGGATAAAATGCTGCCAGTGTCGCTCACCCATCCGGTCACGTCCACTTCGTCTGTCGAAAGAAAAAATAAATCGTTAAAAACATAGTAGAACATTTTTACTAGGTAATTAACATTAAATAGTTTATAGACCCATGTATATACAAAATTATTGATGACTGTGATAGTGCATAAGATTAGGCGTTGATATAGGAATTTGGGAATGAAGAGGGGACTAAATATTCCAGAAAGACAAAAACTATAGTTGAGGTACGTAATATATTTTTTTAATTTTTACAAATGTGATAATAACTTATACAAATATAGTTAGTTTTTTTTCCGCCAATTATTAACGTTCAATTGAGACTTCCCATCAATTGCTCTTTTCTTGAAAATGTATTAATCCCTTCTTTAGTGTCTTCAAGTATTTCTTTGTGGACATTTAGAACTTCTAATTTATTCAGTCTTTCTTTTAACATTGTTGATGTCATTTAATGTTCCGGTCATTTTGGAGGAGCAAAGGATTCCTTGTCTGTAGCTGAATGATAATGGTCGCAAACATTTTCATCAAAATTATTATATTTGAGTAAAATACACCTCGATGGATATAGTTTCCAGAACAATTTTGTAATTTAGTTTTTTTATATTGGCGTATATTTTCTTCTAAAGTTCCAATACAGATTTTATCTTTAGGCCAAAATTCACTGGTTATATTCACCGTTATAAATTAAGGTCACATCCAATATTTCTTCAGAACTATACTAATTTTCCAATTTTTTTATTTTTTAAAATATTATATTAATTAAAATGAGTAGGTGTTTGTTTGGATTCCGGATTCGTGGGACACGTGTTTTTCTGACGAGCCTAATAGTATTATTTTAAACACAATTAAAAAGCCGCGTCGTAGACATAAAGATTTCTATATATTTATAGTCACTTAGAGACATTCGAGAACTTTCGCCGCAGCGTATCTCAGTAGAAATCGGATCGATCTCCGCCGTATACTATAACCGTATAATAGTAGGGTCAAACGAAAAAAAAAAATTAAATTAAACAAAGGAATATGTCATGATATGTACTAATAAAAACAAACCGAGAGAGATGCAGAGAGATAGAGAAAGAGAGAAATACATCGATGTCGGACAGCACAAACCTCGGCTATATAGCGGTAATTTTCTATGGGGTTGCCGATTTATCGGTTAAAAGGACGGGAGGGCTGCAGTGGTAGAGCAGGACGACGAACAAGCTGGCCGGCGGCGATTTATTACCGATGCAATGGGTGTTGTCGGGAGAGTATAAATCTTATTTCGCTGGTTAATTGCGTATTCGTTCGGTCGTTGTTTTCTCTTTTCTCAATCCTTTGCCGACGTAGTATTTTTATTATTATTATTTTTTTAAATTTATCTATCTCTCTGTGGAGCGGTCTCGGTCTTTGTCGCGGCCTAGTATTCTATATATTACATACAGATAGTAGCCCAGGGAAATGGGCATTGTTTTGATTTAGTAGTGGCGGCTCTGTAGAAAAGGTAAAAAGGAATTGATGGCTAGTGGAATCTTTTCATTTTCTACCAGCATATACGAAAAACTTAAATTATTCACTGAATTCACTTATACGTACTTCTAAACGCTGTACAATTTTCAAATCATTCTTAGTTTTTAATTAGTTTTATGAGGATAAAATTTGTTTGACCTATCAAACATGCTAGACAGTTTGATATAAGGTTTATCGTAAGTTGTTCTTATGGTAGTACACAAATATTAATATGATATAAAGAATTTAAAGCTGAATGTTTGATGAGACATGTACGTATATGTAACCGACATTTGCTTAAAATATTTTTTCGTTAGCAATAATTTATTGTTGCGTTATTTTTATTTTTACTTTTGTTAGAGTTACTGTAAAATTTCTTTTTCCCATGACTACTCTGTATAATTATAATCCCATCGTTAGGTTATTATTAAATACAACAATATAATACCACGCGCACGAAGCCAAATAATAATAATATATAATATAGTGTATTATCAAGACAGAGGGGATCGTTGATGCTGTAAACCATCATACGAGCCTGATGGAGACTACACGACCAAAGTTGTTACAACAATATTACATCATACACACGATGCATTGCAACCGTTTACAATATTATTAATAGCATTATTTTCCAAATGTAACCTTGTTGGTTTTCAGAATTTTACAAAGTCTTTGATATTTTACATACCGTAATCTAAACTTAACAGATAGATAGCCCATACCATATACTGTTCCAAGAAAGTTGATGTTCTAAGTGTAAACCATAAAAAAAATTTTCTATCTAGTAGATACAAATCATAGATGGACAGTGATCAGTTAGTAATGTAAAAGTTAAGTTATAAGTTACTTTTTGATAAATTTGAACGAAAGCAGTTAAAAAAAAAAAAAACCAATAGTATGTTAGAAAATAGCTAAGTTAGTTGCCCATTTTTTACCCGTGGTTACGAGTAACCATTTTACAAGTTACTTAAATCCATTTAAAATAAATGGAGCCTTTTTTTTTTCCAGAGAATACCTTCATACAGTCAAAACAAATCGATCAAGTCGTCCCCGGCTTTGACGGAACGCCGCTACGGCTAAACATAAAACGCATATTGACTGCGAAATGGAAAGGTTCGACCTATAAAACCTGTTGGCCCAGACTCGATAATGCGAACCTCAAACCGGCCGTGTCTACTATGATTTACCCGAGAAACCACGACGTTTACGTACCCCGGTCGGGCTGAACTCTAATAGGGTCTGTATAAACAAGCCCGGGGGGGGGGGGATAAGGGGATGTTGAAATAATAATAATAATAATGAAGACGACGACGAATGCAACGGCGGCATAAAAATATTAGAAAAAAAACGGC